GATGGGTTTTTGCTGAAAATTTGTATCAGTAATTTTAGTTGCATTTTAGTATGTACTTTAGTTTATTTTGCAACATCAAAAACATTATCTTTTTTTTACAAATCAAAGGTTTGTAAAAAAAAGTTTACTAAATCAATTAAAGAGTTGCATGATTTAATTAAAAAAAAAATTTTGGAAGAAATTTTTTTTATGGATTTAGAAAAATTGTAAATTAAAGTTAAGAAAAGATTTTCTGTGTCCACTCGATTATGTTATCATCATATTCTTTCAAGTTTTTAGCTTTTTTTTTTTGATGTTCACAGTTTTTGCGATGATTTAATTGGTGAAACCAAATTACTTATTTCAGGGAGTCATAAAAGTTTGGAAAGACCCCCTACCACCATATGTTAAAAACAATGTAAAAACAGGATCGTTTAGACACCTCCCTAGAAGAGATCGATTTAATGTTCTTTGTAGAGTATACATAGTTCAGGTAATAATTGTTTGTTGATAAAATAATAATTTCAATTGATTTCTTAGTTCTTAATTTATAGCATTAGTTTTTAAGTTGATAAATTTTTCTGTTATAAACTTTGTTATTGAATGTAAAAATCTCTTTTTAGGCTATGGGCTTAAGAGCAATGGATATCAGTGGAAAGGTTGTATTTTTGATTTGATAGTTGTTTTTTTAAGCACTTTTTTTAACTTTTTCTTTAACTCAGGAATGCAGAGCCCCATAAAAAAGTTAAGATCCTTTTTGGGGCTCTGCATCCCTGGTTAGGTTTCTATATATCTTATAGTTTATCTACAGAATTAAATATATATATTAATGCTTTATATTTATGAAATAATTATGTAATTTTATTCATTTTACAGTCAGATCCTTATATAAGGATTCAAGTTGGAAACAAGATAATTTCAGACCGTGAAAAGTATATTCCTAAAGAACTTAACCCAATATTTGGAAGGTATGTCTGCTGTATTTTCACTTTTTTTCAACTTAAAAAATAGTTTTATAATTTTACAAAAAATATTACATTTTGTTTGTATTTATTATATATTTATACTGTGTTATTTATTAAAATGTATGTTTATATATTATATACTTACTTTTCAATATTATAATTAGTATTTCAATATTATAACTACTAAAAATATAATAAAAATTTAGTTTTTAATTTTCCGTTGCTTTTTTTTAAACAAACAATCAATTAAATAAGATATTAAACTGTATATCATTTTTCTTTAGAGTGTTTGACTGTGAAGTAACTTTTCCTCAAGATAATATGCTAATCGTCTCTGTTTTTGATTACGATGTTGCCAGTTTTGGGGATGATTTGATTGGTGAAACCAAAATTGATATTGAAAATAGATTCTTTTCTAGACATCGTGCTACCTGTGGAATATCATTGCAGTATCATATGTAAGTAAATGCAGTTAATATGTAAGTTTTTTCAGGTATTATTTCTTACAGGCATTACATTGGGACTAATTTCATCAGCAGCTTAAAAACATCAAAATATTGGCAATGCCATTTTTCACTTTGATTTTTTTAATGAAAAAGTATTATTAGTAATATCATTGTTACTGCCATATTATTTTTTTATATTTTTTACAAATATCTTCAATTTTTTTTTTATTCATAGAATTTCAACTCATTCTTACTGCAAAAATTCATTAGATCTACATGCCTTTTATGAGACCAATTTAATTTTGGCTAGTAGTCTCTTGCTTGGGTATTATACTTACATTTTTGGGTATTATACTTACATTTAGATTGAACTTAATGACTTTTTTTTGTAAAAATTCAAATCACTTACTACATAATGTGCTCCGTGATTTGTGGCTTGTTTTTGACTCTAGCTTGTTGTCAGTTTCTTTTTATTATTTTATCAACTCAACTTATCATTACATTTCTTACTGCTACCTTACATCTCTTATTGCTACTTTACATCTCTTACTCTTACTGGATTCTTTTTATATTTTTCTTTATGATAGTATTTTTATAATTGTCATTTTTTTTTAATCTGCTGAAAGTTGTGCTTCTTGGTATCCTGAAATCAAGTCACACATGTCTAATTCCAGGATATTATGCAATCAAGTCTTACCTTATGGTTTTATTCTTTTGTGTTTTCTGCTACTTATAAACATGATCTTTTTATTATCATTTAATAATAATGTTATTTTTATACTTTTATTTTTCTTTTATATTCTTTAATTTTAAGAACAATTTTTTTTTTGTTTTTAAAAATTAAACCAAAAAAGTGTTGCCTAATGGTAAGGTTTATTATTCTTAAATTACTAATCCTCAATCTCAAAATTTATGTTATCAAGAATGCTGGTGTTCTCTAAAAACCTTTTTATAACTGTACCTCAGAATACAAAGGTCAGTTGCCCAGTTTTTTGTTAAAATTTTGTGAAAGTTTTGCAAATAGAGTGCTCAATGTTTTTAAATAACCGAGTAATAAAAACATTTATCTAGATTTTTCTTCAACAATGTTCTCCATCATCCCCACTATCT